ACGCGATGTAAGTTTAATGCAATAAGCACAACATACAGTCTTTAGATACAGAGATAGTGTTCGGTGTTCTCACACAGGTGGTGCGGTGCATAAGACACGTGAAAGGTCCCGTCCGCTAATACACCTGTAAATAAGGGGGTATTGACCTGCGCGTCCCATCACCCAGGTAAAATACCGGGTACATATTTGTCCCCCTGATAAGTGTCAATCACCCGGCTTCTCGGACAGGGGTGTTTTCTCACCTGACATTGAGGAGAGAGATGGATGGAAATTAGTCAAGTTCGGCGTTAATTAGCGCGGGAGATGTTTGCTGTTTTCCGCTGTGTCTAGATGGGCAGGTAGACCTGATGCTGACGCAGGGCCTACCGTAGATAAGTAAGTAGGTATATAGGTACGGGAGACGGGCACCGTGAGGCACTTCTGACTCAACAACCCTCGATTGTCCAATCTTTTTTAACATCTACGCTTACATGTTTACCTGTTCGGGGCCAATCATGGCCTCTGCTTAGCTTGCTGGGCACTTATGTTGGCCAGGTGGCTCATTTACCTGTGTTAGTCAGTACAAAAATACAAGACGTGGCAATTTAAGGACCGTGAGTTTAGGTAGGGAAAGGGGACAAGGGCTTAATCGCCCTGAGGGACAGGTGTTCAAATGGATTTGACAGGGATCCGGTGGTAATGGCAAAACATTTCATTAAACTATTTCCCTATAACCTACGGTGTTATCTTCACATCCCGGCTGTCGTTAAAGAGTGTCAATTGCTTGGATGAATTGTATTTGAATTGGAAACGCCATTTTTTTAAAGCGTTAATGGTAGATAAATTATTTATCTCTGAAGATTTTTGTGAGGATCTCCGATGCGATTTTGAGTTGCAATTCAAACAATTTCTCACATGATTAATATACATTTAACATAACTGTTAAGTTTGACTTTAATTATTGTTTTGATTTGGTGAACATTTACAGCTAGCTCCGGACAACTAATAATAAAGGGTTATTTTCAAATGATGATGATGATGATGATGATGATTATTATTATCATTATTAGTAAACCTTCATTAGCACTACTTCGGATTTGATTAACACCTTCACTTACCTGTACGCGATGTTTTACAAATTTGATAATTATTATATTTCTACTAATTATTAACATGCAGGTAGCGTGTCAAGAAGCCATTTTGGACTAATGTTCCAAGTATAACTGTACACAAACACATAAATTCCGTTATTTTATATCACATTTGTTTCGGAAATGCACTAGATTGACTTTTACTGGGTAAACCAGGGGGTTACGTCGCTGATCTCGAAAATAAGGCATGACAGATTATTATAATTTGTAGATTTCTTCGGCCTTATGTACATGTAGTACTACAACTACACCTACTGTTATTACTGTTATTATCCTTATATGATTGGTTTTGTAAATAACAATTTACAACTACAAAGATATATTAAACAATCATATAAACAGCATTCATGCTATACCTCTCACACAATTTCTTATTCTTAACCATTCGAATGTATGGAAACCGTTCCGAGCTTTTACCTATAGTCCACATTAATGGTCTTACGATGTTTGCTCTCTCTCTCTCTCTCTCTCTCTCTCTCTCTCTCTCTCTCTCTCTCTCTCTCTCTCTCTCTCTCTCTCTCTCTCTCCCGTTCCTAATGAACCTTCATTGTGTTCTGAGTCTGAAAATCATAGTCTTATGACGCTGACTGAAAGTCGTTTGTTTTAAACATATTTCATAGAAATATATAGCCAATAGGATTTAGCAAAGTTCTCCCACCTAAGTTGGCCCTATTATACTTGTACATACGCAAACAAACATATATTATCACACATACATATACACACATACACCTTTATAAATCAATATTAAGATAGAGTGTTGTTACGGTATTAAGTGTCATTTCATCACTAAAAACATACTGATGAATAATCATATCAGCGAAACATACCCATAATTAAAACAATAAACATGCATGTATTAAAATCATGAATGAATCAAAATTAAATATTCAAATAACTAATGAATAAATTAACATATCATTACACTTAATTGGAAATGATGATTAATATTAAAAAGTGACGATTCGAAGATGAAATATAACAAAGCTGATCCAAACTGACACTGGTAATTGTGATTTATTCCCGGATATATGATTGATGCACAAACGCTGCATGGCATGCATATGCACAATTTCGTGTTAAACATGTGAATTCTGCTGCTTTGACAAAATTAAATAACGATAACAGACGGTGTGGCTGTGCACGAAACAGACAAGCCACATTGCAATATGTTATCATATTTCATATTTGTGTACGGCTTCACATTATAATGAATACTTTAATTCTGAGATAAATTCATTATTAATAAAATTTATGTCACATATACACCAAATACACTCAACATATGAGACCACATGCTAAACCATATTGGCAAGTAATCTGAGTAATTTTTCCATGACGAAATCCACGCGTGCCAGACTCGCACGGTTGACAGTAAAAGGGAGGTAACTCTAAGTTAACACTGATCAAAGATAATGATGACCTTTTATATCAGCTTCATTCCGTCGATCTCGTTTTAGATATTAAAAAAGGAATAATATTCGTAATCTGCAAATATGAATGGGTTTCATGTCATGGTGTGTATCATATGTAATGGATATGTCAAAGATTAATCCTTATTATAACATTGTTCGCGAAAACAATGATACATGCATATATACATTCATATTAACTGAAACCCAGAAGCAAAATAATGAATACCGAGTTTTTTATTTATGGAGTTGAAAGAACCATCACTCATTAATTGCTGCAACAGTTTGTAAAAACTAATCTGTGGCTGGGTTATTTTGTGTTAAAATAAATTGATTCAATGAAAATTGGGGTAAAACATGTTTGAAATGTTGTTAATTTGAGCCGAAAAATAGCAAATTTATTGATTTTAAGATAAGACGTGACAGTCAAAGATACCCATCACCAGTTGTGTATTATGCGAATTTTCTTTTTAATTTTTGAAAGATTTAAATTAAATTATAGATTAAAAATACAACCAGTAAAGTATTTTTGAGTGCTGACTAAGTGCCAGTACAGTTCATTTTTGGGATATTATATCGCTTACTTAAGATGGCCTTCAATTAAAATTAAAATTGAAATAAAACGAATGATAAAATCATCTGGGGGTATAGTTTCTTTTGTTCCTCAGCTATTACAATTAAATATCAATGCAAATCAGCTGCAAACAAGTACCTCATTATTATTTCTAATCACAAGATTCTGTACCCTCTAGACTTGTGACTTACTTCATATACTTATTACCAAACAAATAAGACCCGTGAAGATCCGGGGTAGAATAGGTCTTCAGCAACCCATGCTTCCCGTAAAAGGCGACTATGCGTGTCATAAGAGGCGACTAACGGGATCGGGTGGTCGGACTTGCTGACTTGGTTGAAACATGTCATCGATCCCAATTGCGTGGATCGATGCTCAAGATATCAATCACTGGATTGTCTGGTCCAGACTCGATTATTTACAGACCGCCGTTATATGGCTGGAATATTTCTGAGCGCGCCATTAAACAACCAACCAACCAACGAACCAAACAAGTAATGACATATCCAAATCTACAGGTACCAAAAAATCATCTCACCCGAACGCGCCACCTTTGACGGCGCTCGTGCGGTGACAAAAAAAATGATGAAACAGGTTTCCCGCCTATGGCATAAACTGCACGTGCATGTAAGCTGTATAAATGCGTTCGCTTGCAGGATATAACCACACGTGATGAAAGCACACAAAAGAAATGCCACGACTGTCACAGGAGCATAGAGAGAGAGAGAGACATCGGTATGGTCGAAATGGGGGCAACACAGGTCCAAATTGCCAGAAGCTTTGGTTGTACACCATTGGCAGTAGCAAGGCTGATTCAATGGTACAGGCAGACAGGGAGGACACAGGAGAGGCCTAGAACCGTACGACCCCGAGTGACAACACCACTGAAAGACGGTCAGATACGGCTCAAATACCTGCGAAACAGATTCGTAACGGCGATGGCGACTGCAGCAACAGCGTTGGGACATCCCATTAGCCAACGTACAGTACTACGACGACATCGTGCTGCTGGAATCCGAGCGTATCGTCCTTTCCGAGGAATGTTACTGACTGCTCAACATCGACGTCTGAGACTGCGATGGGCGAGGCAGGTTCGACGCTGGCAAGTGAGAAATTTGCGTCGAGTGCTGTTTACTGATGAAAGTCGGTTTAACTTGTTTCGAAATGACGGCAGAGAACGAGTTTATCGACGCAGAGGGGAACGTTGGGCTCCGGCGTGTATTCGAGAGGTCCATCCATTCGGCGGGGGAGGTGTCATGGTGTGGGGCGGTATTTGTGGAGATCAGAAGACTGATTTGGTGATTATACAGGGACACCTGAATGCTGTGCAGTACAGAGACCAAGTGTTGCAGCCAGTTGTGCTTTCGTTCTTACAAAACCAACAGCAGGGGACATTGTTTCAACACGACAATGCCAGGCCCCATACTGCAAGACCGACTCGGAACTTTCTAAACCAGCAGAACGTTGAAGTTTTGCCTTGGCCTGCCCACTCACCCGCTATGAATCCCATTGAACATCTCTAGGACCATCTTGACAGACAGATTAGAGCACGCCTTCAGCCTCCCGTCAACAGACAAGAATTGCAGCAGGCCCCGAGAGACGAGTGGCAACGGATTCAAGTCCACTTCATCAGAAGACTGACGTCATCGATGAGGCGGCGTATCACAGCATGCATTGAGGCAGCTGGAGGCCATACACGCTATTGAAGGCAACTGTGTCGACAATGAACTTGTAGTGTGTCTGACACTTTTTTGTGTGACATTTCAGACAACTTTTGAAAATGAAATTTCTTACCCCACCATTGTTTACCTTGAGCTTGCATTACCTGTGATTGCACAATTTCATTCAAACTGTGGTTGATCAATCATGTGTTACCCCTTCCTAGATTATATTATAATTCACAATAAAACCTCTTCTTGTTATTTTTTTTATCGATCATGGAACTCGACCTATACTTTCTTTTGACACCCAGTTTATATAAACTTAAATTAAAAAAAAATCCTTCTTATTGCTGCATGGGTTTATTTTTAACCATACGCTGAACGGATGAGGAAGAACAACCTATTTTAACAATAAACTACCAATTTTAGTGGTGTTGTATTATGTTTAAACGTAAATATGTTTCTTAACGTAAGGGTACAGGCAATCAAGTGGAATAACCCGTCAGTTAGCCCTGTCCGAGGATTTTCAATTTAAGGCACAGTACAGTTTTGATTTTAAACACATTTCAATTAAAACACTGGATCAGTTTTAAATTAGGCGTCTTAGAAAAGTAATTACATTTGTATTACCCCCATGTGTAGTGCAATAAAGTATAGTTTTGCCCTGAAATCCTGGTATTATAAGGTCAAAGCACTAGGCTACCACATAGTGTCCTCTTTCATTTGAACCTTTCTCACACCACCATTCAAAACCACCACATAGGCTAGATAGCGTGTGTATAACAGGTGCATTTATCCTCAACTATTCTACTACACATCTACAATAACTCAGATTTATCAACTGGTGAATTTAACTTCAATATTCCAGAAACCACGTCCCGGAACATGTAAATGTATATGACGCTATCCGTCGTTCGACATCCAGACTATTAATATAGGTTCTCAAACTACGTCAAAAATCTAAAACACAATATGCCGACTTTCAGTTGTTCAGAATTATTAGGGTCCCTGTTAGGTGGCTAATGGCCGACAGTTCTTTTAAAATGCTTGTATACGATGTTGGCTATTTGGCCAAAAGTGGAAGTAGCGAACCGGGGTGTAGAGATCAGTGAATCCATGAACGGTAGATCTCTGTCCACGTTCATCTTACAGTAAAGATGTAGGATGTAGTTGTCTTGCCAGTAGTACTTGCTCTCAGGGTACCATATGTCGTCCAAGCACGTCGACCAATCAGGTTTTAGGATTCTGTCACGTGGTCCAAGGTGAATGAGATTCCTGTTGTGAAGCATTATTGAATAGGGCATAACAACGGAGTTATAGCCCCAAAACGAGTCATTAAAACTTTTGTAAGAGTTCAAATACAGCTCAAGAAATTTAGAATTCTTCTCAGAGAGAATGATGCCATTCCCTAACGTTGATGGTTGTTCCTCCGCCATTACGAAACTGTGTGTTCGTAACGGGTCAAGACAGCTGATTACAAACACATCGATGTCGAGATAGATACCGCCATACTTCCTGAGAATTTCTAACCTGGCGACGTCCGACTGATGTTCTACCACGTTGATTGGTCGCCCGAAGACGGAAGTAGGTGGCGCTGTGCGCACCAAGGTCAAGTTGACTGCAAAGGTCAAGGTCTGCCACCACGTCCCTTTCGGTAAGTGGTCGTAATGGAAGTATATGTGATCTGGTTTCTGGTTAATGAATGCACTGTAAATACAAAGAAACATATGAAGATGAAAATGTGTTTCCTTCCCAAACCAAATGTAATGGATGACGTTTGGCACGCGATATGTTTCTTCTGTAAAAACGTTTGTCTCTCCAAACAACACGTATCTGGCTACTTCCCCAACACAACCTGTTACTGAAGCGACTGATGTCGTACTCACGTTCTGTATTATATAATCTGGACTAGATATTTGAAGAAAAGTAGAATTCAAACAGGAAGTGATTCCCTTCGAATTGCCGACATGTATAACTTGTGGACAGATAACTGCAAAATAACGCCCTTTCGCCATCGACATGACGACGTTTGAACACCCGTGATGTTGTTGCTTCTGAAACTCCTCTTTTGTTAAAATCTGTAATCTGTGGCCAAAGTCTATTGTGATATTAGATCCCGAACCTTTGGTGCCAAGCCTCACGCTATACCCTAGACGAAATATATCTGCTCCTTCTGTGAGAATAACATCAAAATTGATAAAGGTACCGCCATGATCATGAAGTATCTTACACACCATACAGCTGTCACGTGACACTGGTGGATCTGTTTGAATGAACGTAAACGACGGCAGTTTTATGACGTCATCCCATCGTGGTCCGGACGGGGTAACGGTGCCATAGAAACGTATTTCTTTGGGATTTGCAAAATGGTAAACGCTTTTAATACTCAACAGTTCCATCATGTTTAGATCCCTGACTGTACCCTCTTTCCACAGATAATGAAATACGTTGGGTACAGATCGTGCAACTTTGGCCGTAGATTCAAACAAGACCTGTCTACCTATAGCCGCCATCTGAGTCGATGACCTGTAGATGTTGTCCAGTGTTGGTGGTGGGTTGTAGGCCGTGTAGGTCACGTCTATACTGACCAGTGTTTTATTTCTCAACAGATGGTCAGCAGCTGGTAACTGCGCATCATTCAGACAGCACATCCTGGAATCCTCCTGCTCATGGCGGAGCAAGTTCCTCCTCTCAATATGTGCAATTATTTTCCTAAAATCAATTTGACCTTTCTTGTAAGTATCATCAATAAGATCAGCTATATCTTTTGAAGTGGACACGTTTGACAAGTACAGCATGCCTACGTTATCTTTATTAATGTAAGCAAGCAGATCAAATCGTTGTAGATCATGCAGATGCCTCAGGAACACGATGTTCGGTGTAACAATGACCCCGCCGTTCTTCCATACCATATCCCTCGTGTTGGGCGTATCTCGAGAATATTTCCCGGAGGTGTTTAAGGGGACTATGGTTCTGTTTGGGGTTATCTGAAGGGCTCGCCTCCACCACGGCGTGTTCACAGGCATCACGTGACAATGGAACATAACTTTGCATGGACGGATGTACTTCATCACGCTCCATACTGACAGGAAGTTGTGGATTTCAAAATGGGAAGTATCCTCACCAAAAAGGAAGTGAACTGTCAGGTTTTGATTTGAATTAGGTGTTTTATTGTACCTGCTTATGTCATCGGGTGATTTCATTTGATGAACGATGCTCCAAGATTTGTTCCTGAATGTATCCAGATGTATTCCTTTCTGCTGAATATTGGCAAAAGGTTGACGATCAAATGTTTCTGTAGAATAATCCTGGTTGAGTCTTTCAGATGTAGGATCTTTCCTTCGGCGCATTCCTGCGTATGGTGCTCCGTTCTTGCCATTTGCTCCACTATTTCCAGCGCGTGCTCGATAGTGTTCCCTAGTGTGCGGTGCCTGCAGCAGTCTGATCAGGTTAGCTACAGCTAGAAATATACTGCAGCCCAGTAGGGTCATCAGGAACATGCGACGTCTTGCGGAACACCTTATCGTCCTCCTCCCGAACATCCTGTGAACAGATGTAACACAATATACTTTACTTTTTATGCGTGAATTTCTTTTTGAGGACGATTTCAGTATTCCGTATCATCACGTCACATCTGCTTTATGTAGGAATCGTAGATGCCTAGCGTTTTTTTATGTAACCAGTGATCATGTCAGATCAAGGTTCATAATCGTGCCAGATCTGGGACATTTAACCAACGACTGAATGACGCCACAGCGATTTATTATGACGCTGATCAGCAAGCCCTATATGCCCCCTGCCTCAAATAAACTTAAATTTGCTTCCATTTTGGCTCATATACAGACATTTTTTATGATGTACCCTCTCTAACACTAAGTGAGTATATTGACAATATTGTAAACAATATAATTATGTAAAGACGATCTATATTTGACACCTTTGACGTATAACTCCAAGCATAGAGGTCGTCACTGAAGGTATCTGTGGGAATTGTCCAGTAACTTGATTGAACATTTAGTTTAAACATGTCGTTTTGAAATTACTCAGCCGTTATTATACTCAGCCAAAAAATGAAAGTATAAACATCAGAATCGGACCATAGTTTATTTCATATAAAATGCCGGTTATAAAATCGTGTTTAGGTGAAGGTGAGCTGAAATGGTTTGTTTGTTTGTTGAGCATATTTGATCATTTTGGACAGTTTTAACTTCTCCCAATACATTATGATATCCCGTTTTCTAATAAAACAAATATTAACATAATCAATATAAGTTTATTTGGACACATTCTTAATTTTATCTATCTGTAAATTTTAATACATTTGCCAAAATGTCAATTATTTCAACAACTTAATAATGTCAATATCATATACCTTAATCCCGACTAAGCAGAAATTTTTTTTCTTAAAAATATATATTTTTTATGGAAAGGATGAGCAACTATCATAAGTGTTCGTGTTAACTGCAAATATGCACGCGGTGTTGAGTTTTATTCAGTAAATCAACACTTGCTTGTGTTCGTTGGACCGTCACTCAATGTATCATATATTTCTTTTTATCATTTAATAAATACAACTGATAAAAACCTCTGGGTGTACAAGTGAATCGATAATTGCTTCGCAGTAAATAAACAACAAGAATGAGTGATGAGTCCAAGCTTATGGTTCAATGTGTTTTTAACCTTGTATTTTGTTTGTTTGGGGGGTCTTCAAACTGGCGTGTCTGCTAAATGGGGAGTCACCGAGCTATTTCATGAAGCGCCATGAAAATAGTCAGTGCCAAAAACGGTAAACTTTAATTATCAATCAACAGCATTAAGCGCCATTTACAGCAATTCTCAGGAGGCACCACGACTAGAATCAGACAATGTCCCCATGTGCGGAGTGGGGTTGTGTCAGTGTAACGAATAAAAATATCAACCCAACAACTTGTAGACGCCACGTTATAGTTTAAACTTATCCAAACAAAACCAACAGGTACATTTACTCGTTGGGAGATCTGTCATTGATTGTGTGTATGTATACATGTATATACCGATTATAAATGCATTTAAACCATACTTACATGAAACACGTCTTGATGCCTCTTCACATCACCCACTCTGCACAAAGAAAACGTCGTCAACGTCCACGTCCCTGTCCACGTCTACACTGACGTAACACATAGTGCTTGGTTACCTCACCTGCACTAGTGACACAGCACCAATGACAAATTACAGTCGACCCAGTGCGACAATGCCTGCTATCTCTGCTCATTAATAAACCACTGCGACACGGTGCTGCAGGGTAGGACTAGATTAGGGAGGTGCATACCGAGATTGAGTACGCACCTGCACGAACCACCCTCTGGGTCGGGACCTTTGTCGGAATCAATACATGAAGTGTATTAACAGAGAATTCTGTCGTTGTTAAGGTGTGCGGCTGAAACATTACATTCGCTGGACCGGGTGGTGGACCTGTTTACATATACACATAATAAATTGCATGGCGCCGTGGTATGAAATATCACTTTCAGTACAAATCCAATCTCATGCCACGAAAGTTCTGTCATAGTATGTCGTCTCAATGTCGGAGGATAACATGAACTGACGAATGGTTCATTATAAATATTGTGTTTGAAAACCAAGTATAATAATAACGATCGTGGCACGGCCAAGGTACGTTGCTCCGACAGTTCGCTACATATAACGATAGATGACATGATTGTATATTTACAATAAACCCCGAAAAAATAGAAAGTGTATACGGGTAGGTTACGCCTACGTTACGCCCGAAGGCGTAGGTCGAGTACTTTTGTGCGGCGTTAGGCCAAAAACACTAACTTGCTTATGCAAATTGTGCGAGTTGCGGGTGTAATCACTGATTTTCAGTGATCTTACCTTGTTTTCAGCACTATTTTGCCTCTTACGTCTGTTTGGTGGATAATTGAGACTGATTATTCTGTCATTTACGTTTTATTGTGCACATCAGTTCACTCCACAAACTATCAGCACGACCTCACAACTATGAGATTTACCATTTATTCCTTGTTTTATGATACTGTAACATTTATTGATATCACACGTTATATTTATTCATGTCAATAAACGTAAATCAAATTACTAATATTACAAAATGAAGTATTGAGTGAGTGAGTATGGTTTTACGCCGCTTGTTACGACGTAAATTGTAATAAAAAGGTAAATTGTAATACTTGCAGCAAATTGTAATAATATTTGACGTAATTGTAATACGCAAATTGTAAAACAAATTGACGTTAATTGTAATAATCTCTACTTGCGGTAAAATGTAATAAATTCTTACGTAAATTGTAATAACCTTACTACCGTAGTGTCCAAGACGCCAATTGACTAGAAATGATCTTTGTCAGTTGAGCTTGTGTTTCACATGTACAATTCGAGAAATACTGTGTATGATGACAAACGTACAAAACTGTTAAGTGAGGGATGGTTGGTATAGGCTTTATCGTACAATCGTCATTAAAGGGTGGTATCAACATAGTGAAAGACATTTATTGGAAGTGATGTGATGTTTGTGGCATTCTATCATCTACGTAGAAGATACTACCATCTGCGTAGAAGATACTCTCATCTACGTAGAAGATACTTTCATCTACGTATATGATAGTATCTTCTACGTAGATAATAGTATGCCATCTAGATACTATCGTCCACTTACATACTTTCATCTACGTACATGATACTGTCATCTAGAGTATGTAGAAGTGCAGTCATGTGTGTGATACCAATGACATAGAGCTCACATTTACTGTCATTACATACACACCTATATGCGCGCGCACACACACACACACACACACACACACACACACATACATACATACATACATACGTACATGTATACACACATATAGTGTTTGTGTGGGGGTGTTTTTGTATGGGTATGTAGTGTGTGCAACACGTGTTTGTGTCTGTATCTGTGTGTGTGTATGTGTGAATGTATGTGTGTGCGTGCGTCCGTGCGTGTGCGTGCGTGCGTGCGTGTGTGTGTGTGTGTGTGTGTTTGTGTGTCTATGCTGATGAGGCCCAATCTGAGGTTTCTTAGATAGTTACTAATCTTTTCATCAGAATTTTAACAAAGTATGTTGTAATTTCATTACAGTGCTTGTTGTTTGTTGGAATTACTTTAATGCTCTTAAACCCCCAGAGGAGGTTATGCTTTCAGGGGATTATTGTACGTCTCAAATTAGTGATAAAAAATGAAAAACGTATTATCTGCGAAGAATATACTTATGTCTTCGTTGGACATACTTTTGTCTACGTAGAAGATACGTTTATCTAATGTATTTGCTACATTCTAATTCGTATAATATCTACAGGTTTGTGTTTCTATTTTATCTTTTAAAATATCTTACTTTGTTCATTTGTTACATTTTGCATAACCTTTAATTGCTCATATCAGCATTTTTGTGGGACCTCTCACAAAGTAGTGTCACTCATCTTTCACTTGGAACTATATGTAGAAGTGCAGTCATAGATCTGATACCAATGACATATAGAGGTCGTATTTACTGGCATACATACAAACATACATACATACATACATACATACATACATACATACATAAACACATACACAAACACACACATACATACATACCTATGTGTGTATGTGTTTGTATGTATGTGTGTATGTATGTGTGTGTGTATACTGATGAGGGCATAGTATCGGAGATAAATATAATTTGGTTTCTTAGTTAGTCACTATTCTTTTCAATGGAATGTTAAGATGGTATGCTATAATTTCTTTATTTTATTACAGTGCTTGATGTAAGCTGGAATTATTTTAATCCTCTTAAACCCCCAGAGAAGATTATCCTCTGAGGTAATTTTTGTCCGTATATATGTCACAAATTAAGGATAACTTATGAAAAACGTAATTATCTGTTTCGACAATTATGTACCGCATTATACGTGAGGTACCAAATTTGGTATCAAGGTTGCTTGGCGCAATCAATCAACGATTGTCGAGTTTAATGATCTTAGAATACTCTTCGTATAATGTCAAAGAGAATATTTACGTTAGTGACCAAACCCTTTTCATTATAGATTTTCCGTCCTTTCAGTTTTGATCAAAACAAATATATTTCAGCACTAATTGATTGCAACAAATTTATTATACATTCTGATGCTCTTTGAAACTCAACAAGACATGCCCGAAGATACCGGATATTATTTTTGTATGCTTTGAATTATGATTACGTGCCGTTATCATGATGGATTCTGTTTTTGTTGTTGGGGCAAGGAGTTATTATCCCAGCGAAAGTTATCAGTAAGTTGTTGTTAGTTCTTCATGACATATGAAAGGAATCCAGACAGTTACATTTATTCATTTATTTCATTAAATATACTTCTTGTTATGAAAGGAAATATTTTATGTTATATTAATTATCCATATGTTAATCATATATTGCTATAAATATTGCATAAGTTAACATGGTTTGCATTTATTTATTATTATTTCTTTATCTGTGAAAAGTTCACAGAGATCGAGAATACACAATATCTAATAGTATATGCAATGTAGGTAAAAAATATCCACGCCCCTCTTTTGATATTAATAAAAACATTGTATATAATGTTATGTATTAAGTATTCTCCTTTCCCATGCATGGGAAATCTATGCTGCTTTTGCTGACGACTGTTTTTTTTCATTTGACATTGCACAGGAGATTTGTCACTCATTTGATGTATTTGAATTCTTCGTCAAAATATAATACAAAACACACAGAGTATTTCTCAAATAAATAAGAAAACTAAGTTCATTCTAGTAATTAATCCTCTTCTGGACAACCATAGAAATGAAATTCCAATGCGTTTATATATACATATAATTATACAACAATTCACGATAACGACCTCAATCCTCCCCCACACCCATACTTTAATGACAATTGTACGATAAACCCTGTACCAACCCTGACAAGGATAGGTTCTAGTCATTTAACACCTTTGACACTATAACTTATAAGGTTATTAGCAATATCACAGCAGTATCTCGGCGGGGGACTCAAGAAATGGGCTTCACACATTGTACCCATGTCGGGAATCGAACCCGGGTCTTCGGCGTGAAGAGCGAACGCTTTCACCACTAGGCTACCCGACCGCCCCTCAAATATTTTTGGATACCGCCAAAATCAGTTTTTAAAATTCCAAATTCGAAACGCATTTATTAATACGAGTATGTCGAATATGTGATACCGCTAGTTAAATTGGTTCATGAAATAATGAATTCTCCCTTAAAGTCATACCGCAGTAAATAAAATACTGGTCAACAATATTGTCTGTCAAGTCCATCACCCATTTAATTTTACAGATATAATTTTGCGTGTTTGTCACGAAATGATTAAAAATATGTTATTTATAATCTTACCATGACATTCTGCGTATAACAACGCTCCCTAAAACTCCTAATCCGCAAGTGGCAGTTTATGGGAAAATACGAATTTAATTTGCGTGACAAACAACGAAATGTTTACAATGTTCTGATCAAATCATCATGTGACATTCATTCTTTAATATATTTTTTCAAGTTCAAGTAGTGATTTGTATGAAACGTATATACATACGAATGATGAGCTAACCGTTTTACTGTGCCAGTTTTCAAATCCGATATCCATACAGCGTTGTTTGAAATAAGCAATGAAAATATTACCACAATCTCAACCAAACAATAATAATTTCCAATAAACGCCGACAAAACCCTTTCCATAATCATAAGAAATCTCTTTTAAAAGTAGTCTATTGTACAATTCCGACAATATCTTGAGCATTAGTCTATTAATCACAATCAAACAGTGATGGTACGAGGTATTCGCGAGAAGGTGAACGTATCCTGGCCGGTAGAGTCACTGATTCACAAAGTCACAAATTTTGAAATGTCCTCCACCCATAAAACGAGTTGTAGGCTTCATCGAGACCTTGAACGATTTAACTGACCAAACAACTTTGAGAAAAAGTCGTATGACAATCTTTGGAATCTGTGATGGTTCTTCAAATGTTATCAAATGCATACACCAAAGGCAGGAGCTGCTGGACTACTGTTTGTTTGTTTGTTGTTTAACGCCGCACTCAGCAGTATTCCAGCTATATGACGGCGGTCTGTAAAATAATCGAGTCATTGACATCATGAGCATCGATCCTCGCAATGTGGGATCGATGACATGTATCAACCAAGTCAGCGAGCCTGACCACCCGATCCCGTTGGTCGCCTTTTACGACAAGCATAGTCGCCTTTTACGGCAAGTATGGGTTGCTGAAGACCTATTCTACCCCGGATCTTCACGGGTCAGTGGACTACTGCTCGACATATAGGGAAAGTAAATTTTTGGAAAGCTGAAGTAAATTGCTAACATGGGATGCCCACTTTATATTTCCCTTTTCGTCAAATGTTTTACACATCTGACAACAAGCATGTTGGTTGCGATGATTTTCCATTTGAAGGAGATATTTCTTTTAACATAAAATCAATTCCTGATATCTCAAAATCGGATTTCTGATTACAAAAACACTTCTGATTTTTTGATATCACAAATTTGATGTTTTATCATCAAATACATGTTAAGATTTCAGAAAAATACAGTTTCCCATGAATTTAGAAAATACTCTATTCTGCTTGCTTAATCAGAGGTTTCAAATCACTTATACCACATCTGGATTGAAACAGTTGATCACCACGAAAGAAATATTTCTGAAAAGTACTTTTCTTTCAGTCATTCTCGGTAGGCATTTCCAAATCATGACATTATAATGATAGGATATATAATGCAGAGTGGCAGGAAAGTCAATGTTTAAATATGAGTGCCAATACATTTTGGGCAGAAAACACCAGGAACAACAGCACTTTGACAGAGCACGTCAACACCTTACGATCGGCAAGTTTTAGAATTATATCAAAAAATTAAGAACAGAATTATTCCAAAATTGATTGAAAAATCAATTTCTACGAATAGAAAAGTCGTTGACCCATGATGATTTTCAACACGTTTGTGCTATGTTGGCCCTGTCATGTATATCCTGTAAATTGGTTGGTTTGTTGTTTAACGCCGCACTCAGCAATATTCCAGCTATATGACGGCGGTCTGTAAATAATCGAGTCTGGACCAGACAACCCAGCGATTAATATCATGAGCATCGATCCACGCAATTGGGATCGATGACATGCATCAACCAAGTCAGCGAGCCTGACCACCCGATCCCGTGAGTCGCCTTTTACGACAAGCATAGTCGCCTTTTACGGCAAGGATGGGTTGCTGAAGACCTATTCTACCCTGGAATCTTCACGGGTCATATCAAAGACTTGCTTAATGTTCAAATCTTAGAAAGAAAACAAGCATTTTAGCTGTATTTCAACACGTGGTGGTGTTAGAGGTTTAAAACAAGTGCTGAAGAGATGACAGCATTTATCATGTATATGAACAATACTTTCTTACATTATACAGGTTTAGTGGACAAGCAAGTGTTCGGGTCCAACACCATCAACATAAATCATGGATGAAACAGGCCACATGAGAATACATCGTAATATTACAATAAAATATAACGTGTAATATGAATTGCTGATATTTTATTATCCAATCCTGGGCAGTAATATTTAGAGAATATGGTTAGGAAAATGAATACAGAAAATGCATTTAATTATTACTGGTCTTGCTCGCAAAGGCAGCGTGTGCGTGCGTGTGTGTGTATCCGTGTGCGTCCTCTCTTAGAATCAAACCAATCTGCTATCACCCCAAACTGTTCATAAGCCAACTTTCTGGGCCAAGACACAAAAGCCATGTATTTTATTGACGTCAACATCATCGGGATCATCTACCCCTTCTATTTGGAGTTCCTTGACCTTGAACCCCGCATCTGTCAAGGCCGTCGTCAGGTGACTTGGGGTCAAGGCTAACGTATGGAAGTTTTTCCCACCCACAGGGTAGCAGTGCTCTCCACAAGCCCCCCTCATCACAAGATGGCCGCCATCCCGAAGGAGGGAAGCGACATTCAGCACACTTCGTCTGTAGGTGTCGATGTCCCGAGATGCTGTCTCAAGACAAAAGCTGCTGAACACACAATCAAAAAAGCCCGTGTACGATGGCCCGAGAGGTTCCGATTGTAACACATCACACTGAACGATGTCCTTGATGTAGGATTTCAGAGAATGCAGTCGAGTGGATTCGAAGGCGGGACTGGAAGTAGACAACGTGGCAGTCAGATATTTGCAATAACGATAATTTATTCAGCTCATCAATACCAATACCTAGAATATTTAAAAGAGAACTAGAAATACAATACAAAGTACAACAGTATAACAATGTTAATGTTGCAGAAAAAATTAAATGTGTACTGAATAATTAGATGAGTATTATTGCTTTAAGCAACTCAAACCCAAATACAAACCCTGGTATGCCAGTCCACGTGGCAATGTACAGGGCCATGTGAAATCGTGGACAATTAACATGAATTAATGATGTCAAAACAAAAAAAACAAAAAATCAATACCAATACAAAATATACAATAAAATTTGATATATATATTTCAGTAAAGGCAGCCGAATGGACTCTTAGTAAAACAGCAGGCTAGGGATACGGATAAGATTTGTTCTAGGGATTGAGAGATTTGTATTATGGACAAATGGCCTTCAGTGTTGAACATTACTGTCTTAATCCGAGAACAGTAGATCTTTACAGTCAGAGTCTTGGATAAAAACTTACTCAAGTGCGTATTTCTTGAGGTAGTACTGACACACGTGACTCCAGCTGAAGTTGACGTCATCACCACGCATCCAGCTCTTGATGACGTCAAGATTGGCCTGTGAGAAGTCCGCCATGACGATGTGGGTGAAGTGCTCGGGGGCGCCAATCATGCTGCCGATGTTAGGACCACACCCAAGATCCAGTAACCTCGTCCCCGAGATGCCCTCTAGGATTATGGGTAAATTATGACGAGTGAGTGAGTGAGTGAGTGAGTATGGTTTTACGCCGCTTTTAGCAATATTCCAGCAATATCACGGCGGGGGTCACCAGAAATGGCCTTCACACATTGTACCCATGTCGGGAATCGAACCCGGGTCTTCGGCGTGACGAGCGAACGATATTACCACCAGGCTACCCGACCGCCCAAAATTATGATGATGATGATGATGATGATGATGGGAGCGAGTATAACGTATGAGAATTAAATTCAAAATTACACGCCAAAGCTTTAATTGAACTTACATTATACTTGTTCTCCAACTTAAAGAGGTTATCCATATTAAAAACACGGTCAGTCGAATGAACAGATTAAAATATTTTCACCTCACAGGATAATATTTTTCAGATCAGATCACATATACATGCATGTTTAGCCTTTGTACTGAGATGACGCGAGTGACACAAATATGCGTTTTTCGTCCAATATTGATCTAAATATCTCCTGTAAGGTAGGGAACATGGTTGTCATACTGGTCTAAAGAGACGCAACTCTGTAAGGCAGGAGCCGCCTCCGTGGTCTAGTGGTAGAGCGTCCGCCCGGACAGCGGAAGGTCCGGGGTTCGATCCCCGGCCGCGTCATATCAAAAGACGTTAAAAGATGGTACTTGTTGTTACCCTGTCTGGCGCTCGGCATTAAGGGGCTAAAACAAGGACTGGTCGGCTCGGAGTCCGTATACTGTGTCTGAGTTGGGTATTCATGTTAAACTGCGGCATGGTATCTCAGTGGGCTAGCACTATAAATCGGGATCAGTCCGGACTAGTACAAGCAGCCACACACACACGTACCTGCATGTCGCTATATAAATGCAATAATCTTGGACGCGACGTTAAACCCAATTTCACCTCACCTGTAAGACAGGAAGCCTAAAAACCACTAACTTCCGGTTAGCCCGATTTCGGGTTGCGTCAGTGGGGGAAGTCAAGCCATGGGTGGCCTAAAGAACATCTAACGTTTGTCCAGTGTTGTAGCTGTAGACTCACCGTGTCTGAAGTATTTGTAGCCACCATCGAGGTGAAACTGGAACCAGTCTTGTTGCACGCGTTCGCTGCCCCAGTAGTAACTTAGGTAACTCACTGGAGAGAACTTGTCGTGGTAGTCGTCACGGAACAACGTCGGTGTCTGGTCGTCACTGTGTGCGGTAGACATGGCGATCGATGGATATTTGTTGGGAGTAGCGTGTGCTCGGTGTTACGAGTATCACTGACCTCTCCTGGTTCACATGCGTTATCACTGATAGTGTATTGCACAATGAGGAAGGGAGGTAACTCCTCTTGTATAGAAGCGGATGTAAAATCCGATTGCGTGCCGCATGTGTGCAGCAAATTGACGAGTGAGTTTGGTTCAACGAGCTTTTTACAGTGTTCCAGTTATATCACGGCGTGTCAACTTGTGGGAGGAAAGCCCGACGTGATGCAGGTCTCAGACGTTTACCACTTAGCTGAAACCCACGAGCACGGATATGGTGCTGACAAACCTGGAAACATAATCGAGGCCAACTGAGATTCGAACCAAGATTCATAGGTTTCTCGCGTGCCCAAGGTACGCAACTCTGCACAGCTATCTGCGGCGCCTTCGACCACTAATGAAGAAAATCTGGGCGCAACAGGAAATTATTCTTATTGGGGGAACACTTCTGGCTTCTTTTCTTAAATCCCTTTGGGGATTAGGGGCGGTCGGGTAGCCTGGTGGTTAAAGCTTTCGCTCGTCAAGCCGAAGACCCGGGTTCGATTCCCGACATGGGTACAATGTGTGAAGCCCATTTCTGGTGTCCCCTGCCGTGATGTTGCTGGAATATTGCTAAAAGCGGCGTAAAACCATACTCACTCACTCACTCACTTTGGGGATTATGGGTAAGAATAGGTACTTGGGGCGCAGTGCTTTCCTAGCATGTACCGATTAGCTTTAACCTACTATTGTGAGATTCATATTAATTTTGCTTTGTTAATTTGTGTTTGTGACACGTACTTGATCCATATGGCTTGTGAATGTACAAATTCAAATTGGAGTTAAACATCCTTTACCATGAAGGCATAGAATTTCATGCGCGGTGCTTTGCAGAATCTTGGACCGCTGTGTAATCTGTATCCCGTCCATTAAGACAGTCGAGCAGTCACTTGCTTGATAAAGTTACTAGCATCTGTACCGGAACGTTTTATTGAGGGGATAGAAAGGAAGTCATTGCCATCACAGCTTCTGAATGCCATTTGCCAAATATATTGTATTCCCCCCACATGGAAAAAAACCAGACATCGTGACGTCATCAGCGGGTTGACGAAGATGTTAGGACATTGCCCGGCATATAACACATATACTCGACACATATTTGTTTCCTTGTTTGTTTATTGTTTATCGTCGCACTCAGCAATATTCCAGCTATATGACCGCGGTCTGTTAATATTCGACATTTAAATCAGCATAGCTTTTTCAATATTTGTTTCTTCAATGTGTTGTAACAATGTGTTGTAACAAGAAACGCAAAAGTGATTTTAAAAGTATATTTTATATATCATATAACAGATGGTAATCGATTGTTCAAAATTGGCATACATCAATGTCATTGACCAGGTTCCATTTAGCACTGGTGAAATGTAGATTTTTAAGATGAAGGTCATCTGTTCTCAATATCTTGTATGGCCACCTTTAGAGTCCAAAACTCGTGGAAGCAATCAGATCCCGAATTGTGGCCTGGGGAATGTTCACGCAGTCTGCCTGCAGTGCTTGCGCCAACCCTCGAAGGTTCTGTGTCTGTTGCTGACGGGCTTGCAGTCGTTGATCCAGTGCATACCATAAATATTCGATTGGATTTAAATCTGGAGACCTTGAGGTCCATGGCAGGACCTGGATGTTGTAATTCCTGAAAAAGGCTGTTGTCAGTCCTTCCGTGTGCGGGTCGGGCATTGCAATTGCCTCGGAAAATGACGTTCACTTTTTGCATTGAAGGACGTGTGGCCGAAGAATCTTATCCCTTTAAATTCCCTTGAACTTCCACCAAATCTGTTCTACCATTTTAGGAGGTGGCTGCTCATATCACACAATCACCAGAAAATCTGTTCACTTCGTCTATACAGTTTCGTACATGACATTCCCGGCGACGCCTGCCGCACAGCGAAGCATAAAACGTGACACGTCACTAAACCAACGTGTCTCCATCGCAGTTGTCCCCATACTCTGTGATCTTGACACAATTGACGTTGCAGCTGACGATGCAGGATCGTCAAAATGACACCTCGAACTTGTCGCCTAACCCGAATACCTTCAGCGCGTTAACGGTTCCTCGCCGTCTGTGCTGATGTCCTACGCAATCCTGGTATTGTCGTACTTGTAGAGGTGGCCGTCGTGGGTCTTTCACGTAAGTGGCACAGCCGTATGAATCTGTCCCGTGCTCAAGTAGTGATACGTGGTCGACCGGATCTGGGAAGGTCACGTGTTGTGCCTGATAACGGCTCCACAGTCTTGTAATGATGGTGCTTGGTGCCACGTGGAAAAACCTGGCTGCAGCTGCAGATGATTCTCCAGACAGGCGTTGTTGCGTTGGGCTTCCGACAGTCGTGTCATGTTTTTCGCTGTTCACATGCTTTAAGATTGTGATGGTATGCAAATGAAAACCCAACGTTTTTATAGCCCAACAAGTAATGTTGCACGTGCATATCATGTTGGTGTGTTTCGGCGCCAGGCCCTCACGTGGTTGTGTTTTTGTGATTTTGTCACCAAATTTCTGCAATACCTCACTCTTTCCACACTGATGTCGGCAACACTTTTTTGCAGAGTATATTGCCCAAGGTGAAACTATTCATAGCTATTCTCCACCTATCAGAGTATTACCTCTTAGTAAAAAAGAAACACATCCAGAGTTTGAGAGTGGGAAGTAATACACATTTACTTGATGTTTGTTTGTTGTTTAACGTCACACTGTGCAATATTCGAGCTCTAAATAAATAAATCTATCATATAATGGGTAGGTTTCTCGGCAGGATAAAGCCCACGGATAAAAACGATATCCGTTGGGGTCATATGCGGATAGAGATGCAAATATCAAAGGTCAAGTAGGGACTACTTTCAGTGTTTATAAACAAACATGGCGTCGCCCTCGTCATTCGGCAATCGAGTCAGAATTAGCCATCGGGAATCTGGATAAACTACAGAGATAATTGCTATCATTATCAAAAGAACAGTCTAATATACTTTCAATCAGTGTCTAACTGTGACATCGCATTTTATTAGTTTTGGCAACTTTGAAGATATTAATTTCGAAACAATTTTGCACACTAGGCCTAGCCAAGTGGGATCAGTAGCCATACCTGTGCTTGTAGACCTCTGCGGCTTGAAACCTTTTCCACAAATTAAAATAGTTGGATTTGGCCGAAATATGTTTGAATTGTTACCTTGTTTCGTTTTGTCGCTGTGTGAAAATCCAATTGCACCTCTTAACGTTATGACAGGACAGACCGACTGTCAACAACGTCTGAACGTGGCCGTGACGTCCCATAGACTAGGGTTAGAGTAGCTTCCCTTTGACAAGGGACAGTTACTCCAGCGGACAGACCGATGGTTGCCGCGAAATGCAAGTAAAAAACAATTGTTATTTTGCGTATATGTTGCTTCGCCACTGTATAAGAAACATATTTCAATTGGAACAATATTGGCTACTGTCACTGTCCGACTGACTTATCACTTACCCTGTGACGTAAAAAATATTAATGAGCGCATTCCAGGAAAACTCGCAATGTTTAGGTAATGCTTGTGAGAGAGGGTAAGCGATTTTCAAGCTAGGAATCATAGAATGACATTATATGACAAAGAGGTTATCACGCTTGTGTGTTTGGGATGGTAAATATCTTGTATTAGGAATAAACACTATGTATTTAGCTCGCCAAGGCTGCTAAATACAATGTTTATTCCTAATGCAAGATATTTTCCATCCCCAAACACACTCGCGTGATAACCTCTATATATGTTCGTGATGACAATATTAATGTATGTTGAAAATTGTATTCAAGGAATATATATATTGCGAAAAAACATGACTTTTGTTTATGTTAACTTGAAGATGACATATTTTCTTTCTGATCTTCAAAACCCTACTCTAAACACCATTACATCATTTAGTTAGACTGAAAATAGTTCCTGGATAAAATGCTGTTTGATATGGTGAAATATTGATATTTTGTCAGATAGCTACAGTATTTCATCACTTTACACATCATGATTACTTCATATGCGAATGCTGAGTTTGTCGACTTCCGTTCAGACAATATTCAGTCACACCATCAGATAACTAGCAGTTGTTGGCTGGAAATATTTTCTAAACATAAATTAATAACAAACACCTGTTAAAGTATAACAACCGTTTTATGACTGTTTTCCCTCAAACAGCCATCCCAAGCCATTTCGATACAAAAAAACCGCATTAACATCGACTGCTGCAGTCGGCTACCCTCGCCGCTCAGTCAGTCCACATTTAGTGTGATAATTTACCAATAACTATGTGAACCAAGCAAATCCCTTCATTAACAAATCGCACAGTTGGTGAAGGATGCGTGTCATTTCAATGCATTTAGATCTGAACTGCTAATAACAGAACCATACGTTTCATTTTGAAACTGAAAACGCACTCTTAAACGGCCCAAATAGGCGGGAGAGTCAGTACATGTTTACACCGCACGGTTGGGGCACACCAAGAATGGGCCTCACACTGTGTGCCAATGCCGCACATAGAACTCAGCCTTCCCGTACGGGTATGAGGTGTTCCCGCAGCGTGGCCTCTCTGTTTACTGTCCAGTGTCCTAACTCGCTGTGCAAAGTTGAACCATTAAGAGATGATCCACGATTCACCCCGATTGTAAAAATTGATTTGTCACATGTACACTTACTCATGGGTTTCACCAAAGTTGTTGGGGTCTATGAACTTGCTCGCTTTCGACCCCGCATTAAGCTGACACACATTATAACAATCAGCAGTTCAGTCAGGATGTTATCAGATTCCTGGTCATTACACTTGGCGTGATGGACGAGTGATAGTGTATTTTCCTTACAATCACATGGTTGACAAATTTATTACGAGGGCATCAATATTGCTCCGATCGGGACAATATGATGCGTAGTGCATGGAATCGAACGTGGGATCACTTCACATGCGTAGCCCTTTCGTCTTGGTAAGAGATTCCGATGGAAAAATAGCTTCGTGTTAGTGTAAAGCTAAACTGTCGGAAATCTTCGGTATGAACAGATCAATTCGTATATTACCACTACACATTATTTCACAGCCAATGGCGATGAGTCCACGTGTCTCTGAAATCTCAGATTGTGTCGTGGCGATTCAGGAGTTCCACCGATACGTCTCTGTGACAAGCAATATCGAAGTATATTCAGAACCATGTTCATCATTCAGTCTTGCTTGACAACGGAAAAGGATCTCTACCGAACCGTCACATTTACAGTAATTAAAGAAGTTGTCATCCATAAATTCTTTCTTCTTTGTCATCCGTCAACTTCTAAGTAACACCTGTCGAACAATTCAACAATTCAGCTGTTATCGACGTGTATTTCCAGTTCAGTAAATCAAACCGGTCATCATCTATATATAGAGTAGACCCCATGTTGCATAATGGCGATTCAGAAGTTTCGTCAAGAGAAATACAAGTGTCAATATAGAATAGGCTCATTCCAACATTTCGGCAATTAATAACACGCGCGTAGAGTTACACGTTCCAAGCTGACGAGCGCGAGATATTCTGTGGTAATTGCTAGTTAAACATGGTATATTTGGGCCGAAGTCGCCCAACTGAAGTTGCGAAAATTGAAAGAGTTGATGGCATGTACGAGGTTGATTGGATAGAACAACCACATGATAAGTACCGCCGGTGCCATCTCCGTGTAGTCATGGTGACGGAACCAGTTGTTTAGCAACAAGATCGGTCTGAATATACAAAGTAGGAAAACAAAGAAATATCTCCAAGTCGGATTGTGAAGTATTGTCAAAGTGTTTTGGCAGATTGGACATGCGTTCTGTCCGCTGAGCAGCGCATCTGAAAGAGAGAACAGAATTAAGTTTAATAACGAATGTTGATAACTGAACATAGATTAGGCGCCTCCAATCCCGGACGGGGAAGGTTCAGGGTTTAATGCCCGGCCACATCATACCAAACGACGTTAATGATGGTATTTGTTGTTACCCTGCCTGGCTCTTAGCTAAAATAAGAACTCGGCTCGGAGTCATTATACTGTGAGTGGGGTATTCATGTTAAACTGCGGAATGGTATCTCAGTGGGCTTGCTTTGTAAAATCGGCATTAGTCCGGACTAGTATAAGCAGCCACACACGCGTGCATGCACGTCGCTATATAAGCTCAACAATCTTGAAAGCTACGTTAAACCCCATTTCGGGGCGGTCGGGTAGCCTAGTGGTTAAAGCGTTCGCTCGTCACGCGTCACGCCGAAGACCCAGGTTCGATTCCCGACATGGGTACAATGTGTGAAGCCCATTTCTGGTGTCCCCCGCCGTGATTTCCTGGAATATTGCTAAAAGCGGGGTTGACCGAAGGAAAGATAATGATAATTGAAAAGAACATCTTATTGTCTTGATTAAGAGTCCACACCGTCATCAATAGCAGGGCCGGCAGGGGTAGCCTTGTGGTTAAACGTGGGCCTCGTCTCTTGACAAAAGAACACCGCTAAACCATAAACATTCACCGATACCATTTTAATTTGTGTACCCAATTGAGGTACAGTACACTGACTCCAAGCCGACCATTCCTTGTTTTATCCCCTTAATGCCAAGCGCCAGGCAGGAAAAACACGTACCATCTTTTAACGTCTTTGGTTATGACACGATCGGAACCTGGGCTCAATCCAGACCACGGAGTCGGCATTCGCCGTGATAAAGTTGGGATACAGATGTGATAAAGTAAGGATAAAGTAAGGATAAAGTTGGAATATTACTGACCGAAGGGTAAACCCTCCTGTCTTCTCATGTCAACTGAGCTAATTTATCTCAAACAGGGTTCCAATTACTGTTAAAGAACCGCCCATAACCGTGCCATATTTTGTCAATTAAGACCATAGGAAAACATAACTCAATTAATTTAATTTAGAACAGAAAGGTAAAATAGTTTATATTATTATCATACTATCACAAACCTCGAGAGTTATAAGCGGTTAATTGATAGATCTTATTAAGTGCATTAAGTTAGTATGTCGAGTGGTAGTCTAGTGGGAAAGCGACACCTAGGTTCGACACGAAGTCCGGGTTCTATTTCCCACATGGTTGTCAATGCTTTGTGTTCTTAGTTTCTCAAATCGGTAAACGAAAAGACTAGCAATATCACTTTAGGCTTTCGTCACACATTGAGATGACACGCCTTGATATAACTTAAAAATAGGGATCTTAGCGGCGTTAAACCAAACTCACTCACTACAGTTTGCATTAAAGAGGGTGGGGTGCTCTGTTGTACGGCCAGTTATCTATTTCCTGTCAAGGTACACCTTTTATTATTTCAGTTTTGGGCGTATACTGGCCTAGACGTTGCAGATAGTGCTAACAAGCGATTATATCCCTGCGTAATTGAGTTAAGCTGGGTGGACTGTAATTGGTCGGAATCCCCCTTTAAGTGGGTTAATGTGCTGGCCGACCGTAAGAGGCGACTTAATGGGTCGGGTGATCAGACTCGGTGACTTGGTTGATGCATGTCATCCTATCCTGACGGCGTGATAACATCAATCACTGGTTTGTCTGGCCAAGATTCGTATAGCTGTAATGTTGCTGAGGCGTCAACCAACAGACTTAATGTAATGCATTGGGCAAAGCCTCACCTGAAGTGTGTGGGTCACTACGCGGGTGTCTGATACCACAGCCAAGGATGACAAGTGACGGCGGAACATACAGCAATGCGTTGAGTACCACCAGAGTAGTGGAGTCTTGTCTTCCTGAGAACATCGGTATGTAGATATGCGAGTCATACGGCAAACTGACCACAGACTGGGAAACACAGGTAACCCCCGCCTCGTGGGGACTCTGTAAAAGCATTTGGACTCCAATGGCAAAGAAAGCCCACAACACAACAGCCCGCCAATTACCACTGAAAACGATTTCAGGAACGGTTAATGTCTTTGCATAACCTCTTGTCATATTATACAATGCAACACCAGCCACCATGCAGACAAGAACCAGTGTGTCACATTTCACGTAGCACGGGCACACATTGACGCCATGGCCACTAGTTACAACCACTACCATCGCAGTAACACTGAAGAGGAAGGAGAGAAGGGAACCGAAGGTCATGGACATGAGGAAGTAATTACAATGGAAGGCCTGCGCAGATCGCCGCTGTTCAGCTGCGTGGTACGCTCCCGGAAGTAGCAACAGCGATCCGGTCAGAAGGTAGTGCAGGAACTGAGCGACGTCCATTGTTTTAGTGTCGACTTGTACGGGTGTAATCGTGATGTTCACTTCACTAAAACTCTGTTCTGGGGGGGAGGATGATGTTCATGAGCGAGTAGGAATGAAACCTCCTGACCTTGACCTTGCACCTCGAGTTGACGTTTATTTCCGATTTTTTGTTTTCTTTTAATATTGTTGTAATGTTCTTGTTACCATAACAAAGAGACTTTTTTTCTGAAACCCAAACTTTTTCTTAGTGGATGAGTTTGTGTTCATTCAGCTTTGATTTGACAGTGATGACTATGTCTTCAGTGGAATCCTTATATAGTTTGATGATGATGATGATGGCGATTATGGTTTTATATGGTTTGATGATGATGCTACTTCTTCTGTTTGTTTTGACCTCCGTCACCTCCACCTGGAAAAAAAGAAACAGTGTTAGAATGTCGACAGAACGTCTGCGATTGTCATACCAAAGGCCGATAACTCACGCTATTTTGTTTTGTTTTCGTCGTTAGGCGAATACTTAGCGTTATTTTGTTTGTTTGTTGTTTCACCCCGTCCTCAACATGTTCAAGCTATGTGACGGCGGTCTGTAAATAATCGAGTATGGACCAGAAAATCCAGTGATTGACATCATGAGCATCGATCTACACATTTGGAATACGATTACATGCGAGCCTGACCACCCGGTCCCTTTAGTGGCCTCTAATACGAAAAGCATGGGTTGCTCAAGTCAAATTTTAACCTGTATTTCAAGGAGGATTCAGTATCAGCGTTATCAGTACTGGATTTCCTTTACTATGTGTTAACGGGGGCGTTTTAAGTTTATACAACGTACAGCATAAATGGAACAGTATAGGGACGTTTTCGTTCCAGTTTTTCTGCACACTTGCCCTAAACTAGCCTTGTGTGTAGAATGTGATGGACCTGTAGAAAGATTACGTTGTTAACTATTGGATGCCCGATCGACTGTACATGAATGTCTTTTTTCAATCTCATTAAAATCAGATCGCAACCGCTAAACAAAGATCTGAGGACATCCCATTACGGGTCACGTCAGACCGACCTTGCGCGAACTTTGACCGACCAATTGAATGACCAATCAGAAGGCAGCTTTCTCGTGCTTTACGGCACAATTTTCAAATTGGCGACTACGCTTCGAAGCATATTTTGACAAATTCTCGATTACAAATTTGAAACCTGAACAAAAAACATTCTGGATTGACAAACAGATGGTCTAGATTGTAAGGATTCAGTCGTTAAACCCGTAACTATCGTTCGGAATACCCCATGTTAAAACTTTCGAGATTGCATGATTAGAAATCACATTCCGACTGTCACTTTCATAATCTGGTAAGCGACGCACCGATTGGTCGGATGAAAGGTCGTTCTGACGTGACCCCTAATGGGATGTCTTCAGATCTTTGTTTAGCCGTAACAAGAACTAAGTTCTGATTTTAATGAGATTGGTCTTTTTTAAAAATTATGTAAGGTCCCCGTCGCTTCTTTAGTTGGGGATCTCTTCCTGCCATGTGAGTAACATAGTATACTGAGGGGCAAAAGAAACTATACCGAGAAAGAACTGTTGTTAAATTTGATTATGACTATTTAACCACCACCCATTCCCGCAACAGCTTGTTAACAATAATATGTGGCCGGGTAATTTTGTGCAACAAGAAACTGCAACAATACAAAACCCCACCAAAAACCATGTAGAAGTATTGTCTAAGTGCTGACTAATCGCCAGTTAAGTTCCATTTTGAAATACAATATCGCTAACTTAAGATATTTTCGATTGAAAATGAAACATAGTAACGTTTTGATTACTTCTGTATTTGTTTGTTTCAAATCCAATATTCAAGGGTATGCTAACTTTTGCCCGGCAGTGTATTTACTCAAGGCATATAAATGTCATGGACTTACTTACATGAGACAATGATTTAGCAAGGCCCAGCTCGCAAATGTTCACAATTGAAGATTTCTAAGTTTTAATGATTTGGATTTCCCTACCATGATGTTTTTTCCCCATGCACGCAACTTTTAGTTTAATCTAGTTTACTGAATCAAAATTTGGCGTGTCTGCATTATTGTCCAATCAGCATTTTCTAGAAACAGCCAACATATTTGTCTGTCCGTGGATATCACACTAACCTACTGTTTCTGACCTTCGGTTTCTTTAAAGAGCAGCTGTTTCAACGCTGCATACCATGAACATTAGTCATCACACAGTCTGTCGTTCACTGTCGCCAGATTGATAAGCATTTTTAACGACGTGTGTCTAGCAGATTTCAATTGAAGTTAATATACTGTACTTCATTGTGACAAAAATGCTCAGATGTGTGTTGTTGATACCTCAGAGGGAAGTGTGGTCTTGCTCTAAAGGTAGAAGATATGAGTGTGATCAAAGTTGGCGAGTTAATCATTATAGTTGTCGAGTGAGTGAGTGAGTATGGTTTTACGCCGCTTTTAGAAATATTCCAGCAATACCACGGCGGGAAATACCAGAAATGGGCTTCACACAATGTACCCATGTGGGGAATCGAACCCGGGTCTTTGGCTTGACGAGCGAAGGCTTTAACCACTAGGCTACCCCACCGCCCCTGACAGTTGTCGAAAGGTCTGGATCTATCTCTATCGTTCTTAGTTTAATTCAAAAGATTTATAACACATTTCCTCCCACATAAAACTGTGATTATGTTATATAATACTATTGAAAGTGGCGTTAAACCCAACTCACTCACTCATTCACTCTTCATTCAAATTATGTAAATACGATGATCCCTGCAACCGTTTTAACATACCCTTTAATGTAACAACTTTAACTGATTGATCCCACTAATAATATTTCTGAAACCTGCTACACGACACGGGAAAATATGGTATCACACGATAGGTTCATTCATATTAACTGCCGGGCAAAAGAAAGTATATACTCGAAAATTGGATTCGACGAAAATACCACAAACGTCATCAAAACGTTTCTGGGCAGAAAACAGTCGCCGAAACACTGGGAACTAAAGGTCCAGTACCGACTGACCCCCGTCGACACTATCGAGTAACCATTTCTTGTTTGTTTCCTTTTCAACCACCATCAAACATAGGTGTAGAGTATAGTCAATCAAGACTTTGTGTTACCAGAGAATCAATTAGCCAGCCAGCTACCCCCATGAAATATGTTTGCATTTCGATATCATAATATAATAAATGAAAAAATAATTGCAAAATGACTGAAATATTTTGACGTTTTGTAAATTGTCCAAGCGAAAATTTTCCGTCAGTTTATACGTTGACTGTAACACATACATGTATGCCTGGGGTCCCCCTGCCCGGCCTGAACTATATATTTCTATATCAAGATGCCAGATGTCATATTTAACAAGTTATATAGTTTTGATATAACATACATTGTGAGTTAACAATAGCCTGAGTATTTAATCAATGAAACAGTGTAGCATACGTATGCCAGGTGTCATATTTAACAAGTTATATAGTTTTCATATAACATACATTGCGATTTAACAATAGCCTGAATATTTAATCAATGAAACAGTGTATACGTAGCATACGTATTTCTCAATATAACAACCGCATCTAACACTTCAGATACTGGCAATATTATACGTGTTAATTCAATGTAATTGACATGTGTTTGAAGAAAACACTTTTCATGACAACAGTTGCATCTTCCATACATCTATTTTGACATATAGGGGCCTAAAATTTAGCCGGACACAAGGAGACTGGGCATTTGATTTGTTGAGAATATTATTAATTCATTACCTAAACAGAGGGATTAAATTGCGCCAGTATTCCTTGGTCACGCTACGATTATATACAGAGTCTATTTAGTAACTTCCTCCCCTACATGTGTTGCGTCATATTTCAAGTCAATAAAACCATTGTTGACTAGTATAGATAAATGAATACACAATCCAATTAAAATCAGATCTTAGTTCTCGTTACTGCTAAACAAAGATCTGAAGACATCCCACTAGGGGTCACGTCAGAACGACCTTTCATCCGACCAATCGGTGCGTCGCTTACCAGATTATGAAAGTGACAGTCGGAATGTGATTTCTAATCATGCAATCTCGAAAGTTTTAACATGGGGTATTCCGAACGATAGTTACGGGTTTAACGACTGAATCCTTACAATCTAGACCATCTATTAGTCAATACAGAATGTTTTTTGTTCAGGTTTCAAATTTGTAATCGAGAATTTGTCAAAATATGCTTCGAAGCGTAGTCGCCAATTTGAAATTTGTGCCGTAAAGCACGAGAAAGCTGCCTTATAATTGGTCGTTTAATTGGTCGGTCAAAGTTCGCGCAAGGTCGGTCTGACGTGACCCGTAATGGTAAGTCCTCAGATCTTTGTTCGGCGGTAGCGAGAACTAAGATCTGATTTTAATAAAATTGATGAATACGCAACAAGAACTTCATGAATATCATGGGCATCATAGAAGCTTAACATCAGTTCTGTCTATCATCAGTAACTGTAAACATCCACATATTCCATAATGACTAAAATAGAAACCTTTCAATATTGTGGAACAATATCTAAAATATTTGAAGATGAATATAAAGCTTCCAAAAATATGAGAAATGTGAGAAATAAATATCATATATAAGAGGAGAGACAAGGCCTCGAAAACTCTTTCCCCATGTCAGTTCGTGTTTGAAGACCAGGGAAAGTATATACACCACAGTGTATTAGAACTGGCCTAGGTTGGAGCTAAGAGAAGGTAAGACCTGGCCTAGGCTGAATCTTCCCCGGGGAAAAAAACTGACCTTAGTCGAACCTTCACCGGGGAAGAACTGGCCAGGGCGGTGTTTCGGTCTGTTACAAAGGGTCACGTCAGAAAGACCTTTGTCCGACCAATCAGAGCGTCGCTTACCAGATTGGGAAAGTTACGGTCGGGGCGCGTTCGAAATTGTAACACCGGGTATTCCGAACGACAGTTACGGGTTGTTCGACTGAAAACGTCAAAATCATACCTGGCTTAAATGGGATATACATTTGAAACGGAAGAGATTTTCGATAGCCCGTTGGAAGTTCTGTCGTACAACCTCGGCAATCTTTTGTTCGGTTTTAAATTTTTGAAACGAAACTTTGTCCAAATAGGTTTCAAAGCGTAGTTTGGAATGAAAGTAGCCAGTTTGAAACTAGTGCCAAAGAGCTAGAGAAAGCTGCTTTCCCATTGGCTAATGTCGACTTCATGTTAGTCATTTCATTGGCTGGTCAAAGTTAAAGGTCGTCCTCAGGTCTACGTGTGGCGATAGCAGTAGATCTGATGTTAATGAGATTGGCCTGGAATATAATGGTTAATTAGGTTAAAATCACTTGCCCTTGATTAACAATCCCGACGCGAGGGGGACGATGATAACGCGGGCAGTGACCGGAAA